GCACTCGGGGCCGGGCCAAAATGACGTCTGGCATCTCAGCAAATCCCGGGAACAAAGGCGGGGAGCTTGCTGCTTTTGTCCCTGCCTGCTCCAGTCAGGTTTGTTCCTCCTGTCGAATTTCGCGGCTTGGCAGGGAAAAAGGGACGGGCAGAGTTAGGCCTGCAGTGCAAGCATAGCACTAAAAGTGATTTTTGGTAAAAATCCCAGCCTAACCCACCAGAAACCCTTTATGCTCGCCTTGCTTTAACCTGCAAGGCTGTCCTCGGTGCATGGGAGTTTGCAGAGGACATTTCCAGGCAGTTTCACACCGAGGAGATTCCTCTTTATCCAGCAAAAATGGGTAAGCTGTGGCATTCTCTCCCAGGATGCCGAGAAGGAGAAAAGCTTGTAAAGCTTCCTTGTAGGTTTGCATGAATTCATGGAGGGGAAAAAAAAAACAAACTCGCCAAAAATTCTAATCCACACCTGCCCTGGCCCCGTGCTCCTCCAGCTGCTTCCACTCCTGGCTGCTGGGCAACATGGATTTTGGGCTGCCTTGGAAAGGCTGTTTCCAGACCTTTGGAGGAAGTTTGTTTTTCCTCTGTGGCTGTTTCAGTGTTTCCTGGGGATGAGGCTGTAAAGTCGGCTTTAAGCTGGTCCTTGGAGGACTTTGCTTGGCCTGAGGAGGCATCTGAGGTCATGATATGGAGCTGAGCTGCTGTGCTGCAGAAGAACGGATTATTTCTCACTCCTGCATTAGGAGCTCTGTGGATTTAGTCATTTCTCCACTACGTTGTTGCTTTTATCCACCCCTCTGTCCCTTCCTCCAGCCTCCCCTCCACACACCCCTCCATCCCTCCCTCTGCACATCCCTCTGTCCTCCATCCACCCAGGAGCTCCTGGAGACACCTCTGAGGCTCCAGACCTCGGTGCTTGTCCCAGGAGCCTGCATGCTCTGGGAAAGAGCGGGCAGGGATGGAGGAACCTGCTCCAAGGGACACGGGGTTGGACGCCGGCTGGTGAGACAAAGCACAGGAAAACACCCAAGTGAGGCTTTTCTCCAGAATCCACTGGAGAAACTGCTGGCAGGAGTGTGAATTGAGCACTTAGAGGGGTAATCTTGTGTGAAATGTTCAGTAACGGTCCGTCGGTCTCTCTTCATTCCCCTGTGCCCCTCTGCTCTCCCCCATTAACCCTTTCCGGGGCTGTCACCTTCCTGCAGCCCCGGCTTTCCCGGGAGGAACGAGTCCCATTAAATCCGCGGTGCTGTTTTCCCTCAGAGTTGACATCCAAAAGGCTCCCCTGTGACTCACAAGCTATTCAGCCCTTAACGATCCTGCAGTGCCTGGCCTCGTTATCCGGTGAGTGGGATGCAAAGTCTTTGGAAGGGAGAAGAGCGGATGAAGGGGGGAAGGAGAGGGGCACAAGGACGCTGACCACGACAAGGTGCACTGACCCCCAAAGCCTCCGCCAAGGGCTCACAAACCGGGATGAGACTTTCCTACACCGCCAGTGCTGCCTCTCCGAGGAACTCATCCATGAAACCCTCCGAGCCAGCTGGAGACACCAGTCCCGTGCCTTGTCCCACCAGTGGCTATTCCAGAAGCGGCTGCCGCAGTTCTGGTGCTCAGCGCAGCCTTCGGGCTGTTCCCGCATCCCAGAGGAAATGCCATTAATTATCCCAGCGATCCCCAAGAACGGGGGCAGCCCTAATTACAGCCCCGGCCTGTTCACTTCGCTTGGGTTGGTGTTTCTGCTTGTAACGCAGAAACAAAAGGCAGCGGACTAAGGCAAGCGACGCCGCTATGAAGGAACGAGCAGGGGAGGGAGACAGGATCTCGAATGCTCCAGGAGTTGGGATGGTCTCTGCAAACCGATTTTCCCCCTCTCGAGGTCATCAGATTCGGCAAAAACCTCTGGCACAAGCTGCTGCTCCAGGGTTTCGCTTTGCCTGGCTGAGGAAGGGCTAATTGGATGCTGATTAAAAGTCACTCTTCGGGATAATCCGTGGAAGCGGTCGTGGAAGCGCGGGAAGGGATCGCTCCGTTGGCTCTGGATGTGTGAGGACGCCGGGGCTCTTCGTGTTCCGTAAAAAAAAAAAAAAAAAAAAAAAAGAAAAAAGATAAAGAATAAAAAAAGATGTTTTGAAGCGCAAGATGAGCTGGGGGAAGGGAGATGGGATGGGGGAGAACTGGGAAGAAATAATTGCCATGTCTGAAAACAGTTACTATGGCAGCAACAGTCTTCGCGCTGCCGGAGCGAAATGTTGGGGACCAGCGAGCGGTCCCTTTGTCACATCCTCAGACACACATTTAGATGCTAATGCTGGCTTTAACCTTGGCTGCTTAACCTTGACAGGCTGGGAAGGGGGGGAGGTAGGGGAGAAAAAGCAAGGAAGGGGGGGAGAGTATGGAAAAGATGGGTTTCCTCTCCCTAAATTTGCCACCGAATGGACTTGGCAGACTTCTCTCAGCTGCCATTAACACTGTTATTTCTACGCTTAATATTCCGCGGAGGTCTTAACAGCTTATTTATGGGTAGCTGGCGTTAACTGCAGCATAATTCACCGCTGAGACGCTCCTGTTTATCTCCATCCCCTTGGGATTGTCTCATAGAAGGCCGCTTTTGAGCACATCCGCAGGTTTGATCGGCCTGACTATCTAATCTCGCCTTTTTTTATAACCGGAGGGGTGCAAAGGAGGGAAGTCTCCCCTTTGGACTTTCGATGGGGGAGGAAGGGGAAGAAATTTTGGTGGCCTGTTTCTCTTTCCTTGAGGCTCAAAGCTGTCTCCAGCAGCAGGGATGAAGGAGGAGGGAAGAGGGGGAGTTCCCTGGGTCGTGCTACCTGACACAACACCGAGGGCTGAAACAGCAACTCCTGCACTCCTGGACCCGAGCGCGGGCCCGCAGCCCGAAGGTAAATTCCTAAACTAAATTCCTAAACCGCAGCCCGACTGCACACAGATTAGCCACGAATTCTGGGAGCAGCCCGGGATGCCCTCCCCTTGGGATTATCCTCACAGCAGCCTTTAAGAAAGCTTTTGCTGGAGGCATTCGGGCAGGAGAGATGAGAGTGGTGCCAGTGCCGTGTCTGCTGCTGGCAGGGCTCACAGATATGACCTTATTCTTCTATTTCTGGCATTTTTTTTTCCTCTTTAATGCTCCAGCTCCTGGAGTCGGGTGATCACTCGTGGCTTCCTCCACTTGCTCTCGGAACCTTATTGCTTTGGCGTGGTGGCAAAGTTAAGACCTGAGCTCTCACTGGCTCAAAGATCAGTCGGCCAAGGACAACCCCGCTGCACAAAATATTTTCATTTTCCAGCCCATCCAGCACCTGCGTCTTGATTTTGGGATGGTGGTGCCGCTCACAGGTGCCAAGGAGCATTTCTCCCACCTGCACATTGCTGGGGGTGGAGCTCCTTGCACTTTTCCCGCTGTCACCACATGGTGATTTCCACCAAAACCGTGCCCAGTGTCACCTCCAGAGACTGTCACAGGAGCTGCCTGTATTTTTAATGATGGCATGTGTAGCCTTATCTCCATGCAAGGCCACAACACACATTCTTGGGATGAAATATGGATAAGAGAAATGATCCCACTCCAGCCCAACAAATCCTCAGCGCATGCTGTAGGGGGGGAAAGCACCTTGAATTAAAAAAAGCAGTATCTGTCTTCTGCAGTGCACTTCTTTCTCTGAGGCTTTCTGCTTAAGCTCTCAGATACAGTTGATATTTGTTTTACAAATGCTGGGAAAGAGGGGATGAGTAACGTTGTAGGAACCACCCAAAAGCTGCTGCTTTTTGGCTCAGGAGCAAGGTCAGAAATAAATGCAGCAGCACTGGCACAGAGAAGCTCTGGCTGCCCCATCCCTGGAAGTGTTCCAGGCCAGGCTGGATGGGGTTTGGAGCAGCCTGGTCTAGTGGAAGGTGTCCGTGCCCATGGCAGGGCATGGGACTGGAAGGTCTTTAAGGTCCCTTCCATGAGTAGCTGGGACAGCAACTGCATGGCTCAGTGTGGTGAGCCCTGGGGGGCTGCCAAAACACGGAGAGCTCAGGGGCTTTAAGGTGTGTTGAGGGCATTCACAACACTTCCAAAATACGAGACACAAAATCCATTAACAGCAGTGATGGATTAACACCAGCCCTGCCCTGGATCCAGCACAGGAGAGCTTTTCCCCCCGTGGCATCTCTGTGCTCTGGGAGTCTGTCACAGCTGTGGGGAACAGAGGTGCTGCATTTCCCAGCACTGCACTTCCCAGGAAGAGAGTATCCATCGCTCTCCTGCATCCCACTCAAATCCCCGCTGGTGCCAGCGCTCCCTGCAGAGCTGTGCCTGAACAGCCCCTCAGTCCCCCCCACTTCCCTCAGCCTGGTGCAGCAGAAGGTCCCTCCTCGTGTCTCACATGCAATGAATAATCCTAGAATCCCAGAATCCCACGCTGGTTTGGGTTGGAAGGGTCCTTAAAGCTCATTTTGTTCCACCCCCTGCCATTGGCAGGGACACCTTCCACTAGCCCAGGTTGCTCCAAGCCCCGTCCAGCCTGGCCTTGGACACTTCCAGGGGTGGGGCAGCCACCCCCTGAATAACACCGTGGCTTGGCTACTGTTTTTAGGGTCTTTCACCACTTTCTGTGGCCGGTGATGATGCCTGGCACAAGGATAACCCAGCGCTCGGCACAGGGGGATCTCGCTGCCAGGGGTCCCCGAGGAGCAGAAGTGCAGGCAGGAGGAGCAGTGCAGGCAGGAGGAGCAGTGCAGGCAG